TACTTGAAGGTGCTGGAGTTTTGAAAGAGTGGAATATGCAGAGGGAGGGATAGGGCGGGCTGGAGGGGGAGAACGAGTGGAATTGCGGAGGGAATGGGTTCTTGAAAGAGTGGAGTCTCTGGACCAGGGAATAGGACCAGAAGGGCGGGCCGGGGGAGGGGAACGAGTGGAATTGTAGAGGGATTGGGGTCTTGAGAGAGTGGAGTCTCTGGACCAGGGAGTAGGGCCAGAGGGGCGAGTAAGGGGAGGGGAACGAGCGGAATAACGGGAACAGGGAATTGGGGCATCGCCAGCTCTAGGACGGGTACGGGGGATAACGAAGGGGCAAGGCTGGGAAGAAGTGGTCGATATCGACGGAGAAGAGCGAGAGGAACATAGAGGCTGCAGTTTCGAACGAGTGGAGAACCGTGGAGAAGGGATAGGGGTACAGGGGCGGGCAACCTCACCAGCTTGAGGACGAGAACGGGAGACGACAAGAGGAGCGTAGCGGGTGGAAGTGCTTGCCGAAGAGCGAGGGACGGCAACCACAGGACGAGGAACGAACTCAACAGAAGAAGAGGCAGAAGAGCAAGAAGAGTAAGAGCAAGAAGACGACGACGAAGCAACAGCAGATGAACGTATCGAAGAACCAACAGAATCACTAAACGAGTGTGATATACTTACGTCTTTGTAGGCCACGCGATGGGGGAAGGTTGTAAAGGCCGGCCCATTGCGCTTCCTAGCGGCCTTGTCGTTTGGCCGAGTGGGGATGCCCGGAATGTGTAGGCCTGGCATGGCTACTACACAATAACGAAAGAAGGGGCGTCAAGAAACAGGAAAACAGCAAAAAGGAAGCAGACAAAAAAAGAAAAAGCAAAGGCAAACACAAAATCAAAAATCAAAGGAGTATATGAGAGAGGAGGAGGAGGAGGAGAAGGAAGAAGGTTATATCTCTTAAACAGTCTGAAGGTAAAGAGAGATATACGTTATATCTCTGTTGTTATGGTATGGTATGGAGATGCCCCGGAGCAATGGTCAATCACGTGAGTGAAGATAGGGGCAGCAAAAAGTCACAGACGTGATGGGGAGAGAAAGGAGAAAAGAGAAGAGGAAGAAAAAAGATGGGAGCGGGACGCCGGCTTTTATGTTTACCTCCCACGGATAGCGAGGGAAGGCACCCGGGGGCTCATAACCTGCCAAATACGGCAATTGATCCAGGATATCGGAGGAGCTCTGGCCTGAAAATCCGCTGTCGTTGCTTCCCTCATGGTGAACTTACCCCTTCATTTGGCAGGCATGGTTACCGCATCGGGTAGGTCATGTTTGTTTTGCCTTCTGTTGCGAGATGTGGAAGCTGCCTCCCACTTTTTAGGACGCAATTTGTATGGGTAAAAATGGGTATAGGCCATACGGGAGGTTGTATGAGGATTTTTGAAATATCCGTATAACCGTGTAAGCTAATTGTATATTATATTGTAGACATGCGAGCATTGATGAGCTCGTCGCGGGGATCCCGTAGGTATCAATATCGTCGCGGAATGCAGCGGAGTAACCCCTAATCGACCAGAGGGTGCGAAATTGCAGTGGTATATCGGTTGTTGTTATTGTGATTCAAAACGCAAATTGCCGCCATTCCTCTCAACGGCGAAATATAGGGGTGATGTTTGTGCTTCACTGAATCGAGTGCATTTGTCTCCCCAGATAGATATGAATTTGCAATACTCTCTACGCGGTTCATGGTGCATGGTTGGCTGGGCAATCAGGCCTCCGCCAAACAACTGGAACTGGCTATGTGGATACGAAATGAGCGTAAGATCATCATGAGTAGATCTTTAAGATAGAGAATCCTCCCAGTATCACTTCTACTTGCATGGTTAAGCAGTATGCCTTGCGCGGGATCGGCGTTGAGCCGCATATGTGGATCGTGAGGCTCGTGCAATCCATGTCGGCCTCCACATAGCTTAAAATCAACGACACCACAGAGTCCAATACAGAGATCCATATAAATAGAGTCATTCTACAGGCTCAGTATTCTACAGGCTCAGTATTCTACAGGCTCAGTATCCGCACCTATGGCTGGTATAAACGGCTTTAACAGCGTGTGGCCTGCGGTGGCTACCACTTATTGGAGCCTAGCCTCTTCTACACCTTACAGTTAGGCGTCAAGGATAGTGAGGTATGTATGTTATCCATAAGAAATATTTGCGTAGCAGACCAAGTAAGAACGATTTGTTTACAGACATTGATTCATTAAGTGGCTTCATAGGGTGCATTTTATATCAAGTCCCCTCAGACCGTATCTATCCACGTAATGTACTGTGCTATCCACAACACGTGAAGTCCCTGACAATGTGGCTCCACATGGTGGACAATCACCAGCGTTATGCTTCTGCAAGCTTGCGGTGTGCCATACAGGTCTACGGATCGCCATCAAGAACGGTAACAATCTCCATGGAAGAAAGGAATGTGGCTAGCAAGGCCAGTTTAACCAAATGTCATCTTCTGCGCAAAGGAGAAGCCACTACGTCCTTGGCGAACCGCTGGAGAACCATTAGCACTCGGTGTATGTACATGGGATATGGATATATCCGCTGTCCACGGTACCGGGGGAGGGAATAAGCTCAAGGGGGCCATGGCGTGAAGAACTCCGCTAATCGATGTTCATCTGGTAACTAGATAATGCTCGAAATCGCCGTTTAAATTTCCGGACACCTTGGATCCGAAGGCGTGCTAAATAAGTCTCCCTATTACTCTATATCAAAGTCATGCCCTAGCAATGGAGGAATATGCCAATTAGTTTCCAACAGTGTTACCCATCTCCAACTACCTACAGCAACGTGGTCGTCGTCCACTCTGTTTATTCAGCAGATGCATCGTGAAGAGTCAACGCCTAGGCAAAGAAACTACGGAAAGATATTCCAATAGTCAGGGAATGTTCACATCAACTCTAGACGAAGCGGACAGGCCAACTGTCACAGTTTTCATCTGCGAAGAGTCCTTGAGGAGTGGGAGTGAGAGGGCCACCCAGGTACAGTACAGAGTGTTTACTACGCTGGTATGACCTTCAATTTTCGGTAGTTCCACCCTAATATTTTAGTGGCATTCTAACCATCAATCCGGGGTGGCGCGTTCTCAATCATCCCCATACAAATACTCCGTAGAAGATTCTTATTGTCTTCATTCTTATTATTCTCGTACGCGCTATTCTTTATTATTCTCTATCAAGATAGACCTCCTTGCTGCTCTTGAACCTCCAGTTGCACCTCCTGAAGATCCAGAACCTCCTGCTACACCTCCAAAGCAATTAACCCGCAAGCAATGTTGAGATCTGGCTCTACTAATCTCTATTGCTTCGTATGACGTCAGATGATCTCGATAAATGTTAATCCTCTGTACGGAGTACGGAGTACTCTGTCGTAACAATAAAAACAGCATAACAATAAAAATGAAAATAGGTATTTTTTATATGAGAATCATATATAAAAGATTCTGATTTGAGAAAATGAGATATTCTTATGAAAAAATATTATATTCATTATATTATTTGAGTATTTCTAATCTTCATATTTCAATTTCATGCTCATGTCTAAGATGTTGATGAAGATATTAAAGAAAATGATGTTTGTATCTTTTATATGTGATTCTCATATAAAAGATACCTACTTTCATTTTTATCATTATTAACTTAGCTATTCTACGCTAGCGCTAACTACGACCCGACCCACGCACATGGTTTTCGTTTCGTTAGGAACTTAGCTCTTTTTAATTGATCAAGTACCTTCCCAACTAGTTAATAATAATAATGTATCTTCTTCATCAATAACTAAAGTGAGCCAATGGCTAAAGCTCTCTGAGAGCCCTTAGCTAACTTCATTTTAAAATAATCACCAAGCAGCTTTAGTGAATGTCAAATTCATCAGTTATCCTATGTGATTCTATGTGTTCTCCTAGTCACTCTGTTTAACTGAAAAGACTAACAGACCCGTACTTGCATCCTCTTCTACTTCCTGTGGCTCCTTCCACTTATTTGTCAACAGTTGGTCAGATCAATTTCAAAAGTAGTTGGTTACATTTTGAATTAAGACTCCTTTCAGTATGCTTTCTCACCTCCAAACAGATCAACAGTCAAAAAAATTGAGAAGTGAAAAGCAGCCCTCGAGCAGCGACTCCGGACGGCTAAGGAGCACTCCGCCATTTACCATGAGTGTCCCAGTACATGGAGTGGCATTTCGACATATAGACAGACGATCAAGGACTTCTTGAAGGCGACAGAATCCTCCTTGGCTGGCGTTGAGAACAGACTTAAATCAGTAGAGCGCCGTATCTCTGACCTTGAGGACTCAGTTTCCGAACTTAAAGATGTCAGAAACCGGTTCATCAGCACTTTCAAGCGAGATATACTTTCACAACACCGAGAAATTATCAGGAGTGGAAATCGTTTTGTACATGTACATGTACAAGGAGGGGACTGCAAAAGAGATGCAGAGTTATATGAAGCTCCAGCACGAGTCGCGATTTTGATATCTACATCAGGCTTTACGGTCTTCATCCCGCAATTGTCCGCTCTTCAATCCGTATATATCCCTGTAGTTTTGTCAGTGGTTGAGTGGTGCTAATAAGTTTAAAGTATATCGTCCAACAATTGAACTCCTTCAGATAGACATGCTACTGCTGTCGCTGATAGAAACATCGAGCTTCCTAGGAAGTTTAACGACCTGTTTGTGCAACTATACTGCGTAGGTCCTCGATAACGATACCAAAACTACTTTTGAAAGGGACCACCAACGTTGACCTATTCTTAGAAATTCTTGTTATCATTGTTGTATGTTATAAGTTAGGAGGAACATCCGTTCACTTACGCAGTACGCCATGAATATTAATTAGTTTTGTAAGTCTTGCAACTACGCAGTAAGTTAACCGTGTGTCGGAATGAGTGTCACGGATGAATATGTTGGAGACATATGAATCTTATGTGTATCAAGATCTGCTTGTTATATTATCCGTGCACTCTAATATATCTATTTCATACAAAAGATAGAGCTATTTATAGTAAAACTAATGTGCGAGCCAAGAGAGCTAGCATAAGCGAGTATTAGACGAGCGTTGTAGTAAGCTGATGATGATGAGAAATATTGTAGTAATACGATGTTGGTGGCGTTCAGTAGTGTAACCGTGCCATGCTTACTCACTCTCTCTAGTGAGTGTGCCACAGTGTATGGAAAACCACACCATACAGAAAATATTTTGAATATAGTAATCTTCAAAAATTAATTAATAATCATCATCATATCTATCTATAATATAAAGATTATCTATATACTCATTAGAAGATGTAGAATTCACTGTAGATTAAGATTCTATAGAATTATCTTATTATAATTAAGTGACTGTAGATTTTATAAATTTGATTTCAATTAATTAAAGATTCTTATTAAATGTCTTTTTCATCTCATCTGCTCTACAGATCACAATCTTGTGATTGATATTCTTAATAGTAAGAACTTCATCTACTTACATCTATCTGTGAAAGAATTTAACAATCTGATATTTATTTATTTAATAATAATCTGTAAGTTCACTTCTACAGTGTGTATTCAATTCTGTCTGAACTATACTACTCTTAAAGATCTTGTTTAACTATCTTATTAAATCAGATATAAGAGTATTCTTTATATCTTCTAAGACTTTAACTACTGTATTAATTTAATAATATAGTTTTATAACTATCTCTGAGAAGATTAATTATAAGAAGACAGTTAATAATTAATCTACAGATAATAAGATAAAGTGATTATATATATTATTATCATCATTGTATATGTTGAGATTTGAGGTATTATCAATGGTAAGAGATCTCAATTAATTGAGAATTATATTATGATTAACTGAATATATTTTATAATCAGTAAAGTCAGCTCTTATAGTATTAGATTTAAATACTTACAGTTGAATACTCTTCAGATTAATAAGAAATTATCTGTTATTATACTGCTTATATTTATAGTAGATAGTCTTATTAACTATCTTTGTATAATAATACTTATACTGCTGAAAAGATACATTATCAAGAGATTATAGAATATAACTTATATAAGATAAAAATCTGAATAGAATAATTATATAAAGATTACAGTATTGAATAAATTCTTCTATAAGATAAGAATTATAATTATTTATTAATAACAGTTGATAACTGTTTATTTAATACTTTTTTATTATCTTATTAAACTGCTTAATTCATTCAAATTCAATCTTATTATTTATAAAGCTAGACTCAGATATGATAATAATATAGTTATTAAATAAGTTAAAGTATGTATATTAATTCTCTAAATAAATCTTTGATTTCATTATAATCAATGAATTTAATACTATATTATCTGTACTGATATACTTTATCACTGTTATTAATTCACAGAAGTATAATAACTGTATAACAGAATTCATATCTTTAAAGATAGTTATAACTTACTATTAGACTGACCGCCGGGATCATGAATTTCATGTTTGATCTCATTTGGTCTGGTTTCATACATTTCTTGGCGTGAATCCCGCTGGGACTGACTATCAAAAAAACATGTAAAGTGACTATATATCAGATCTTAAAATGAAATCATGACTTGAAAAAAATGAGAAAGTGATCTCATTTAGTCTCATTTAGTTTCATTCTTAGCATAAAGTTACTATTTTTAGACATTTTAAGGTTTTTTTTAGACTATTTTTAATTTTTTAAAAAGTAACACTTTTTGATAACACTCAAATGAGATTTAAAGTCATTTAAAGCAATAAAAATAATTTAAATTGAGAAGTGAAAATCATGGTCTCATTTGAAAAATGTGATAAGAGTAGACAGTAAGTTTCACTGAGACAGTATGAGACTACTATCTAATGTTAAAACTGTGTAATGAGATCAGTCAAATTGATAATAAGACTATCAAAAAATCTGGTCCTGGTCTCAGACACGGTCACACGGTCAGTCTACTTACTATTCATATTCTTCTTTCTTCTTAAAATTTAATCTTATTAAAGTTATAGATATTACAGTGAAAAAAATAATATTAATTAAAAGCAGCTTTATATCAATTAAATCAGTTAATAATAAAGCTTATATTCTTATAAGATACTTATTTTAAATTCATGAGCTTTTACTTAATTTATTTATAATCTGATAAATGTTTAATGAATTGATATATTCATGTCTTATTTACTGTGAGAGATGCAGTCTCTGAATCTGTATAATATATCTTAATATATAATTCATAACAGCTTTGATATACTTGATAATAAGTGAATAAAAATTAATATTTAACTGATAAATTCATATCTTAATTATCTCTTTCTGGCTATTATTCAATGCTTAATTCAGTGAAATTCTCATAGTTCTTGATTTCTTTCTGTTGATTCTCTCATATAAGATGATATATAAGACTTTGAATTCTCATGACAGAGATGTGATTTTTAATTTTGAATTACTTTTATATATGTTAACAGCTCTTTGCAACTGCTTCTCAGTGTAATTAGAAGATTTAGACATGATTATAATTAATGATGATTATTTGAAGATGAAGAATGAAGATATTCAAAATATTTTCTATACAGTGTGGTTTTTCATACACTGTGGTGCACTCACTAGAGAGAGTGAGTAAGCATGGCACAGTTATAACCTCTTTTTCCTGACACCGTGCCAAGCGCAACTCACTACCCTACCATCACTAGAGAGAGTGAGTGCGCTTGGCACGGTTAGATAACAACAACCACCACTAAGTAAGTACGGAGTACTAAGTACATACATGTAGTTACTGTACATGTACATACAATTCACATCTGAAACCCCGAAGCTCTCATAGAAAATGTATGACATGCCAATATCCTATCACCAGGCTGACTAACATTTTATTAGTTTCTTAACTGAAATTCCAACCGGGCTAGACGACGCCGAAAGAATCAGGTTTCAAGACATTGCGCCAACAACTACTCCGTACCGAGACAGGGTGGCGGCCCTACAGGGACGCAATGACCGCGCTAGACCAGGTTCGCACGCCTTTAAACCGATTGGGACTCCTTATTTCTCCCCATCAGCGGCTTCTCGATATCATCGATGGCGGCGTGCTCGTAAAGCTCGACCAGTCGATGTCCAGTAGCGTGCCCACTTGCCCAGCTGTTGTTTGTGTGTTTGGCCTACGCCTCGTATTTTTCATCCATTGCCTGTTCCCGTCTAGGAGAAAAAAAAAAAAAAAAAAAAAAAAAATGAGCCTCCTTTTTCCAATCGGGATCCTGTTGCGGCTCCTTCTCCTTTTTTTCATTCATTCTCTTTTTCCTCTGCGATTTTGGTCTCATAAGATGCTCAATTTCGAAGTCTGTGCTGTTACTAACATAGTGAGGTGAACTTTCGTCCGAAGCCGCATCATGTTTGGCCAAACCAACCATACGCGCACAGTTTTTCCTTCGTCTATAGGCGATTTCGTCCTGTCGGGGTCAGCCGGTTGGACTGCCACCTCTTTGTATGCTCGACGCTCGTTCAAATTCATTATTGCTTTTGTGTCTTTATTCCTCCTTGTAGCTTGTTTTGCACTGTTCTATAGCCCCCCTACTTTCCGGTGTCCACCTTCGCCATTCGCAAATTCCCAAGCGGATCGCACCCCAGCTCCACTAGCCACGGAGAATATCACTGACAACCATCACCACCTCGTCGTTACTACTACTACTACTACTACTACTACTACTACTACTACTACTACTACTACTACTACTACTACTACTACTACTACTACTACTACTACTGCCCCTTCCCTTTCTTTGGCCTCTCCCCCAACCCCTCTATCTTCTTCCCTTACACCTCAGCCTCCCAAACCGAACTTCAAAATTGTCGCTGTCATCTTCTATGGACGGCCGGATAGGGTGGAAATCCTCGATTGCTACCTCAAGCGCAATCTTGTGGCCAACGGAGGATGGCTAGATGAGGTCTACTGGGCGCCTAACACGGAAAATCAGGCTGATTTAGATTGGCTCGATAAGCTGGTGCCTACTTCTCCCTCGTACAAAATAATCCCTGTCAAGCCGCAGGAAAAGGGATATGCCAAAATATGGGATCACACCGTGTCAGATCCCGATACCCTCTACATCAAAATTGACGATGATATTATTTTCATCGACGACAATGCGATACCCAAATTAGTGTCGCTAAAGCTGGAACATGACCACTCGTTCCTCGTTTCAGCAAACGTTATCAACGGCGCCCCGTTGCCCTACCACCACTACCGCACCGGAGCCATCCGACCCTACCTCCCCGAATTGGCGCCGCCCAACAATAATAGTAGTCATAATATCACCAACAACACCGCGAACAGCAATGTTACCTCGCTGCGACAACCAACATGGCGCGCCTCACAGCTTCCATACTGGGAAGGCGCGGACGGTTTCGAGTTCCCGCTCGAAGTCGGCAATGCGCCTTACGCGAACCACCGATGGTTGCCTGTGCACAGCGAGAGCAGAACGGCTATATACCGCACGCCCATCCAGCACGCGCTCTGTAGCCCGTGGGCAGAGAACCGAGGCAAATGGTCCCTTGCCGCGCAGCAGCATTTCTCCTTCCTAGAGTCTCTGGAACGCAACGCGACCGACGTTTACGATTTCGCGCGCCGCGGTGTGTGGGATATGGGATTCGAGCGGATCAGTATCAATTTCATTGCCATCTGGGGTAGAGACGTCATAGATCATCTTCCGCTCGTTGACGATGAGGCGATGCTGACAAAGTCCATCCCGAAGAAGCTTCGAAGACGTCAGTGTTTCTATACCGTGTCATGTATAAATAGTGTGTTACTTGACTTATGTCCTATGCTAACATATTGTGTTTTGGTTCTAGCTGTGCTGGTCGCAACGGGCGCGATCGCTGCTCACTATGCATTTGCGTCGCAAGTTAATGACCTCAAGCAAACCGATATCCTCTCTCGATACCGTGCATATGCCAACGATATGATTTGTCCTGGCACCTTGCCCTAATCACACGACATGATGTTATGATTTATATATTTATATACTCGTCCCTTCGCTCACCACACCTGTGGTTGGGAGCGCCTCATCACAACATTATTATCATCACAATGTTACTTCTCCAAAATAGGTATCTTTTGTATGACTTCTCATATAAAAGATATCTGTTGATGAAATTTTTAGAATTTACTATATCTTCAACACAACGTCATATATGATAGATATATAAGTTATCTTTTGCGCCGGTGAATATATAAGTATATTCTAATACAAAGAATATAATTGTATAAAAGTTTTTGAAATAAAATTAAAATTATTCTGCTTAGATTAGAAATAGCTATATTTTAAGTAGTGAATCTACTAGTGATTTTCAAGTTAATTCTTTAATACTACTATATTCTCTACTCAAAAACATGCTTATATCTTACACATATCTGGTGTTGTGCTGAAGATATTAAATTTTTTTGTCTAGGTATCTTTTATATGGTGAGCTCATACAAAAGGTACATACATGTACGGTTCAGGACTGTGGTTGAACGTTTAACCTCATGTAATCTTGTAACTATAATAAGTATGTTGGACGTCTGTGGGCATATATGCTTGGTGCGGGGCCAACCTTCCAGCGTACACGCCTATTCAACATTGTCCGCACAAAAAAAAGATCTTGCATTTCAGTCTGCCATCCTTTATTTTACACGGTATTCTAAGCTTCAACAGTGCAGGTGCTGTGACAGGCAATGCAGGTGAGGTAGACAGTAGATCATTGATACCTTTTCAGATTCAAAGAATCATCATTCATTATTTGAAGACTGTCTATCTGGCATTTTGCACAGCTCTATCATACAAAGCAGAAGAAGATTATTGTAGATCTGTCTGTTAATTATTAGTAAGAAACAAAATCACTAACTTAGTTTAGTTATGATTTTTACAGTGGCAATCAAGGTTTGAAAAATTGACATTGGCAGTTACCCGTGCCAAACGCGACTCACTAATGGTAGTTAGTGAGTCGCGTTTCAAAAGCTCAGCCGCTGCCCAGAATATTGCCTTTTTAACAGTGAATCAATGATTAGTTCACTTTTACTCTTTAAAGCTAATCTCAAATAGATAATAAACTAATCAAGATCTTAAATGAATTCTATCTATTCATCTCTATATTACTTTAAAGTCTAGAATAATTAATATTTTTATAATATATTTCTATTCTTCTTCTCTTTAGCTATAATCTAAGATGATTCACAAATCAAAGATGTGTGAGAATTATATAATTGAAGGTCAAAATTGAAATAATTTGAAGAATCTAGATGAGGCTTAGTGACAAAAGTGGTTTAGTGTCATGCTGCTGTGAGCCTGCTGAGATAAAGTTTGTAGTGAGGCACACCAGCCACAGATGTGTGTATGCATAACTTACATCTGTGCTTTTATTTTTAATTTTAGAAATAGACTAGAGCTGAAGTTCAATGGATATTTAACAACCCGCAACAATCTAGACACATCTACTACCTTTCTATGAACTTTTTTTTTTTTTTTTTTTGGGGCCATCGCGTAGTACTACACCTGCTTGTCTGCATGCATACCAAAGAAAGAGAAAGCATATACACAGTATATATATATACTGTACATAAATGTATAGACAAGAACGCCCAAGAAGATAGCCAGTATCCCCTTAATATCATCATCACAAAAAAAAAAAAAAAAAAAAAAAAAAAAAAAAAAAAAAGACCCAAAGGTACGGCAACTAACATCAAACCAAAGTAGATTGTGTACATAAAAGCCTTGCCCCTCCTCTACCTTTCCCGTGTGGTAGCCGCCGTGAGAAAAACCAAAATCTCACGGGTAGCGAACAGAAGACGTTGCCAACATCGCCGGCTATACTGTGGCATTACTCCGCTCCTCAGCTAGGATGTATGGCATGCGGCAGCAAGTACGTTCGGTTTCGTGGCATTGTTGTTCTGCAGGAACCGCGCATTGTGGCCCATGACAGACTTGAGGGTATTGAAGACGGTGACGTGCATTGGGATAGGTTTTGGGACAATGTAGAATTTTACGCCCTCCGTGCAGGGCGGCGTGGTCAGGCTGCCTGTATAGGTGTAGAGCGGATGCTTGTTGACTAGGTAGGTGAGGTCGGCGAGGTTTAATCTTGGGATGGTGACTTCCTTTCCGGGAGTGGCTACTTGGTGGACATTATGAATCACCTTATCTAGGGAGCAAACGGAGTGCTTGGTCGAGACTTGTACCAACAAGGAGACAACTGCGAGTTCCTTATGGTTATCTGTGGCAATTTCAGTTAGACTAAACCTCATCTTCTTTTTTCTTTTTGTCTGCTTCTCTAATCTTGCAACTTTACTGTCTAGGTATTAAGGGTCTTAAAAAGGAGTGTTTGACATACGTTTGCCGACGTGGACCAAATGTATCTCAGCAACGAAGGGCTCGCCCTTCAGAGTGTGCTCACTGGGGTGGTGGAAATGAAACTGCTCTAACAAAAATTCGAGCCCATTGACTTTTGTTTTCCCTTGTAGTGCGACCTCCAAGGTTGTTCCCAAGTTCATCAAGGTTACATTCTGGACGGGAACATGCATTTTCAGGGAGCCCGCGGAAACTCGGTAAACGGAATCGTCGACATTAATGGGGGATTGTGTTCTTCCAATACCGCAGAGTATATAATCCGCTGATAGGGTATGCCAGTTCGTGGGGCCGTTATAGGGGCCATACCCAAAATTCGGCGGCTCAAACGGCTTGTGGTCGTCAGCAGCTCGACGATGAAGATAGGTACCGTGTGCGCATGACGACAGGACAGCCCTTGCGTTCAGCAGAACCAGGATTGCTAGTGGTAGAATCAGCATTCCGAGCTGGAGAGGAGTCTCCGATCTTATGCGATTTTTGTTATCGGGTCAAAAAAAAGAAAGAAAGAAAGAAAGAAAGAAGAAAAAAAGACCGACAAAGAGAATATGGCGACGAGAGGAAATGGGGTGAAATCAAAGAAAGAGCGGGTTGATTTAGTTTCTCGAGAAGGGGAAAGAAATTAAAAAAAAAAGAAAAAAGAAAAGGCGGATCTTGCGAGATATCGTGTCGTCGTACAGGTAGATAGATTCGATAGATGCCCTCTTAATAATTAGCCGTCACATCCAGCGTTTGCGTACCAGGTTCCTACAAAAGGAGTATGGCTTAAGCGGCCTGTGACAGGGAACTGTCAGGCTGGAGGAGTCTAATGATACTTCTATGAAGTCTGTCCTCCTGAGAGAGCCCCCTGTGGCGTTGATATCGCGCACCCAGCACCCACGAGGTTGGTACTGTACATACATGTCATGTACATGTACATAGGGTATTATTGTAGGCAGGGCTCTTTATAGGAACGGTAAGGAGGAACCAGCCGGGTCGAGAGCATGCGAAGTGAATAGTCAACATCTCTCTGGCCATGGATTGCCTCATAGAGGCTCAACATCTCCCTGATTATCACTAGGCGTGAAGCACACAACTAGCGGGCTGCTAGGGCGCTAACTTCTGAGCAGATTGAAAGGTTTAAGGCACAGCCTCCGGATTCTTCTAATCAGGTAACGGTAGACGTCAGAAAATGGAGGGGTTCCAGTGGAAGAGAAGTTGAGGAAAGTTATTATATGATCTTGGTTAACTTTTTAAGTTAATCTAACTTACTATTGTGGCGGACATACTGCTTGTGAATGTAACAGTAGGCGGGGCAGGCAAGCCACCAACTATTTATTATTATTATTATAAGGCTCTCCGCTGTAGTACAAAGGTCTTTTTGGCCTAGTGGGAAGAGCTGTCTTGTCTGGGACGGACGATAACAAGAACCACTTTATTTCCAATAATTGAAGATTTTCAGATTCATTTTTCAAATAAAAAAGTTAGTTTCAGATAAAGAATACAATTCATTCTGATCTCATTATTATATTGAAAATAATATTAAATGAGATTATGAAATTATTTCTAACTTAATTATATAATATCATAATATATTTATTTTTTGAAAAATTCAACAAAGATATCATTAGATTCATTACTTTTCTCAATATAGATGAAAATTTTGTCTGAAGTTTCAACTCACTCAAGATTCATATAATTTAAAAAAAAGAAAGAAAAAATGTAAAAATCCGGCGATAAAAACAAAGTTAAAAACATCAAAAAAATAAAACTATGATAACAATCTTTTAATCTCTGTTCTGTTACTTCTGTATCATTCCAATAATAATAGGCAGACTTACAGCATTAGAAACAAGGCTGTCTGTCTGGTGGTGTCTTGCGGTTGTAACTATGATATGTAAAGAGCTTGCGTAACTTATTTAACACTAGTGAGTACACATTTAGCAAGCCGCTTGCTCAGGGCTCGCGTGGTGTTGCCAAGGTCTAACTTACTCCTTCCACCCCCATCTAAAATATACTCACAATTACGCTTCCATACGTAATAAATACACACACAAAGTTCTTGATCAAGCTTGATGTCGCGTTGTACGTTGTACATTATTATTACTATATACTCCGTAGTTACCTCGAAGCCCCGAACAACACACTGCAGCTTCTTCTGCTGGAACCAAAAGAAGAAACCCCACCAGCGTATGAAGAGACGCCGCTGTGTCTCAATGCCTCACTCTTCTCTTATCCTTGCTTGGCCCGTGTCCCCTCCCCTTCAAAAATAATGGATCCTGCCCCTGGACCCTGGACCCTGGACCCTTGCCCCTTGCCCCTTGACCCTTGACCTTGCGGAATGCGCGGATTTCTCCAAACAAGGCGCTCCTCCTGCCGTGTGTCCCTGGCCATGACTACTGGTGCGGACGGTGCTTCTGCTGCTTCTTCTTCTTCTTCTTCTTCTTCTTCTTCTTCTTCTTCTTCTTCTTCTCCTCCTTTCCCCTCCATGAAAAAGTTGTGATTAAACCTTATCTCGCGACGTTTTTTTATTTTTATTTTATTTTTATTTTGGAATGAGAGAACCTGCTATTTTCCTGTTATATCTATGCGTAAAACGGAGCCAAGAGGGGGAAAAAAAATTGAGGTTTTCTCCCCCCTTGCCGACGGCATACAATACCACCCGCGCTATCAAAACAAAAATTAGGTAGTTGCAAAAGAACCAAGGAAAAAAAACATGGGGAAAGAAATTAGTCCCAATAAAACCAATTAATTTGACCTGCACCCGTGCCACCGATACCCAGGAAACATCCAAGCATACTCCGACGAAACCCCCTAGATAGAGAGTTATTAAAAATGATTAAAATTAGAGCCAACTACCTTTGCCCCTTTGCTCTTTTTCAACAAACCCTCCCCGAGATAATTCTCTCACCCACACGGAATCCAAAAAGGCAAGCAAAGACACATAAGGATAATGCGGCGGCTTGACTGGCATTACACGCGTATCAGGTATCATACCCAGGCCGTCATATCATCATAACCAAAAACGGAAGGGACGGAGGACACTAAGATGAATAAGATAAAATAAAAAGAAAATCCAACGCAATGTTCGGAACGGAGACTGGTGGAACGATCATTCCACTCGCGGCGGGCTTCTCGATCTCTTCTCGCGCTGGCTATCGGATGTACCGTTGGAGTTGGAATTTGAACTTGCATTTACACTGGACCTGTTAAAACAATAGAATGTCTTTTCGGAAATCAAGAGGCATTAGGTTGCCCGTTGATATCCCCAGACAAGCCTTAGCATGAATTCTTTGATCTGATGGTGCACGTTTGTCGGTGGTGATATGGCGGCAATGGTGGAGGATAAACGGGCCAAGAACTCTCCGTCCCGCCAGACCTCGGTTCTGAGCCTGGCCGAAAAGTCGGAGTCTGGGAAGAACAATAACGGTAGAACGGGAAGCGCGAGGACAGTGGCCAGCAACAGTAGTGAACTACAGACAAATATGAAAGTAGATACGTACGATCTACGCCGTTGTCCCTTCTTCCTGAACCGCTCGATGATGCGAACAATCTCCTTGCGTCCGTTGTTCGCGTTCACCCTCATGCCCCTGAGACTCATGCTGATCTTCTCCGAAGAATTGGCCATCAGCAGCCGTTTGAGGAGCAGATGGCGCATGTGTAGGCACACGAAGACGCCGCAGTCACTGCTGTTCTCCTGCACTGGTGAGTCGTCGAGGTGGATGAAGCGGAGTTGTTTGTTCAGGAGGTGGGATAGCTTCTGTGTGGCTTGGAGCGCTTCGTCGCAATTTCCAGGCGGGAGTGAATCATAATGGAAGGCGACGCCATCCACGACGGATACGAGCAGAAGAGACCAGTGGGTGCCGCCTTCGGCCTCGTTGACGTTGCGGCAGTCGTTGATGGGGAGGAAGATGTGACTGGTTTTGGTGAAGTCGGGTAGTACATCGCGGAGCGTGCGGGGGTCTGGAGTTTGAAGTAGCATAAAGGACATGCTTGGTCGGAGAAGGACAATATTGGCAGATTGGTAGTTGACGAGGAATTCGCGTTCCAGGTACCTAGACAAGGTTGTGAACGGCTGCATGCAAAACCAACATCATCTTGTTGTATGATGGAATAGATAACCATACTCTTCCCAGAATGCAATAACCTATAGCACATTAACACCACCATCAGTACGAAAGCCAAATAAGAAGAATAGGGAGAGAGATATAGCAAAAATAATCCCAGCTAGTTGTAGTACGTACATTATCTGTCAACCAATCCGTCTTGAGGGTATATATATCTTCATTTGTTACTGCAGCATATCGCCATTATTAGCCACCAAGTGTCCCGAGCAATATGAAGAAGCGTGGAAGGGGGAGGAAGCAGCTTAGAAGCCGGAGGGAAAGATACGAACAGCGAACATCATGATCTAGACCAGATTCCCGAATCAACCACCAAAAGTTAGCTCTGAGTTAATTGCATCCAGCAAAACCCAAACGAACCACATGAGGGGAAGCGATCTGGAGAGAGGAGGATATACCCCTGTGGGGGGGGGGGAGGGGAAGGGTTATGGTTACGCACAGCTAAGATATGCATCGTCCGGACTCGACTGCAGGAAGTCAGTACTATAACTCATAGTTGAAATGCGATCCCAGAACTTGTTGAGCAGCGCGACATCGTTCAAATAAAACATGACAATATATCCAAGGGCCCCTCTCCTCTGTCTCGATAGGCCTTGAACTGGCTTAGTAGAGAGTAGAAGCCAAGCGCAGAAAGAACAAGCTGTCAAGCTTGGCTAACTGGCACAAACGGACGCATAGAGATGGAGAGATGGAGAGAGAGAGAGATAGAGAGAGAGAGAGATGAGACAACGCCCGGGTCAAAGGGGATGAGGGAAGATGGAAGTCCGAAGCACCAACACCAAGCACCAACACCAACCCAGGAAGCGATGATGAGAGTGAAAATGACAATGAAGAGTAGCGCAATAAATACACTGCGCAAAAAAAAGAACCGGGAATCCGCGTGGATGAATGCTAGTGCAATGTTGAAATCAGGATGTACCGGATAACCAAAGCCGGCTCAGCGGCACAGGGCTTTGCCTGGCTAGCTAGCTACAGCATACAAGGCGTGGCGTATATTCCACAAGGCAAAAAAAAAGCAAATATAATATCAAACAGAGCAACGTACCGAATCGCCAAATCGGCCTCTCATCCGATCCTTGAAGCGGTTGAAGCCGCCTTCGCCCATTGTTATCGTTGTAGGCTGCCGGTGTAGTGCAAGGTTAGGTAGCTAGTAGTACAGTGTAGTAGTGCCCGTCGTGTGATGTAGATATTTAGTTTATGTGTGTCTCTTCCCAGCACGAGCTAGACGCAGCAGGAATGGATTGTGATGGGGATTCCCTGATGTCGATTCTGATTTCTAGCACTAGGCGCTTAGGAGAAGCGGAGGGATTGTAGAGGAATAGGAGCAAGTCGGAAGGCGGCAGTTATGGGAGACAAGCGTGTTAGTTTTGTCGTGAGGGGGATTCGATGCTCAAGTTCGTACGATGAGGCTCAGAGGGCGTTCGTCCGGGCGATTGACTGATCTGCTGGTGAGACGGAATGGTGAGGATGAGAGGTGGCGAGGGGGGGAGAGAGAGGGGCGGAACACTACAAGTATCTAGAGGTGGGGGTTGGAATAATGAATAGACTGAGGACGAGTAAGAAATGAAACAAGAAGATATTAGGTATTAAGATTTTGTATAGAGATAAATCAAGCGACGTTGCATGCAGAGACCACGGGGGGCGGGAGATGAGTAACTGGGGAGTCGAGTGTCCTGTCCGTTATAGTCTATATATCTTCCTTCCCAGTGAACCAGGCTAGGGGCAAGCTTCTTTGATCCCACGATGGAGTTCGCGGGCCGAGGCGATGCCAAGACAGCAGGGACGGCGGTTCTGCAGGAAAACAAACACACTAGCCACGGAGCTGTTATTCTGCATATTGGAGTATGTATTTACTTCATTGACTCCTCTGATTTTCACAGGCTGATCTAGTAATTTCATATCCTCTTCTTCAAGCTATTCCCTCCCCCTCTACTAGACAAAAGATGGGAGTCTTATCTTCGCCTCTTTTGCTGATGGAAACGTTTAGGCTCAAGTGTGGCGTTACAGGGGTTTGCCAGTTCCCGCAAGACTAGGTACACGACATGCTATCTCATGCTGTTCATAACAATCAATCCGCTGCCCTTCATCCGTCGTACTTTTAACATGGAGCATCCCATTCGCATTCAATTCACCCGTACGTCATCCCGTCGCATTCCTTATTCGGGGAAGGCAATAAGGGGCCGCATAGGATCAAAAGGCACAAATATTAGAATGGAAGGAAAGACACAGCAACGAAAAATGAAGAAATAAAAAGACATAGTCGGAAAGCCCAAATAAAAACTTAACGCCAATGCGAGAATGTTAAACCATTATATGAAGTCACTATAGAGGAAATGAAAGAAACGGCATATAACGCTGTATGTCAAAAAGTTGAGAAAAGCAACAAGGGATCCAGGCCACACTAAGCAGGATCCGTTATTTGTAGGATTAAAGGGGGGTTCAAAATGTGGACGGACACAAGACAACACGAGCAGCCACCAATCAACATATCAGGAACCGCTCGCCCCGGTGCGTCAAGGCTGGGTATCTGACAGGACTGTGCTAAGGGAATCTTGCATTGCACTGCTCCATGTAGGAGATCAAAAGAAGAATACGAGATGAAAAGAAAAAGGAGAAGGGGGAAAAATATAACAATGTTCGGCATGTTTCTGAAATGGCTAGAGGACAAGGGGACAAGGGAATTGGTTGGGGAATATGAGCTAGACAAAAGAGAAAAAAAAAAAAAAAAAAAAAAAAGAAAAAAAAAAAAAAAAAAAAAGAAAAAAAAATCAACAAAGAAAAAATAAAAATCAACAAAGAAAAAATGAAAATCAAAAGCATGATAAACAAAAATTGCGAACATGAAAGCATTCGAGAAAATATATCCGATAGGTATCAAAAGGCTGCGTTGAGCGTAATTAATCATTATAACCCCATATAATATCGCACACGCCAAAAACACCAAGAAGAGCAATGTAAAAGAAAAAGAAAAAGAAAAAGGGGAAAAAGGAAAAAGGGCCTCGGTATGAGGTTCGTGTGTTCCTGCGGTTAACCAACGAACCAACCAATTCTATACAATCCTTACTTAGAAGAAGAAACAAATCATTCCCTATTCTTGCCAGTATCCCGCCTAGCCAGCTATCCAGCAAGTTTCGAAAAATGTTTAGTCCAAATCCATCCAACCTGCCGGGTCGGGTCGTCCTGGTTCCGCGCTAGCCACAAATCGCCCTTCTCACCAATAACATCGAAGATCTCCCCGGCGACATATGTCAGGTATGGGTACCCGGCCTCCCGGCGCGCGCGGTCGATGTTAAACTCGAACAAGCTTGCCACAGGGAATAGGACGGCTGGATCCTTCTGTTTCTCCTCGTCCGGCACGGGTGTTGCCGTCTGCGGCGATTCGTTCATGGGCATTGCGGACGAAAAGAAGCTGCCGGTTCGTGCTACGGTGGGCGAGGACGGGTGGAGGGCGGGGTCGGGCGGGGTGCCCCGGTTATGCAGTGCCATTAGCGGATCAGCGAGAATATCTTGTAGCATTGGGGTGTCGAGAGAGAGTCGCGGGAGTGACGGAGTCCCGTCGGAGGGTCGGCCGGAGTTGGCCCCGCTACCGGGGTTCTTTAGTGCGGTCATGGACGGTACAGCTGGCCCATTCGACACATCGGGTACGCCTGAGGCGCGGCCTGAAAAGCCAGAGTTGGTACGCACTCGCCCACTCGAGAATACCTGAGACCCATTGTGTTGCTGGGTAAAGTTATCGCCGGGAGACGACTGCATGAAGCTGCCAGGGGTGCTGATGCCGAAATCATGAGATAACTTCGGAGAGTTACTCTGCTCGAGGGAAGCAGCTCTGTTAGTAATGGCATTCTGAATGTTCATGCTATTCACTGTTGAGGGTCTGCGAGATGACGACGACCCGTCCGCCGCATTAGAGGCCGACGCTGAGGGTGAATTGAATCCTGCGACTTGGGCAATGTCTGCAAGAATGGATCCGTTGCAGATGCCCAGTGACAATACCTGAGCATCGCTGAATGAGAAATCTGCAGCCCAATCGGACTTGATTTGCTCCAGATCATGGAACGTCGTCCGCTCGAAAATATACCCCAACCGCTTTTGTATCAAGTTGAGCCAAGTCTTTTGAAGTTCCACAAAGTTATGCAGGCATGCATCTGTCAGCTTCCCCGTCAGAGCAAAAAGCTTTGGCAGCTCCTCCTTAAGTGTTACGTCCAAAGCAACAAATTGCTCCCCTTGCTCAGTGGTTTTCTTGTCTGCCTTGTCGCCACGGTCTTTGAGTGTTTTATATCGTATATAATCCATCAGTCGTTTGTTCCGCTTCTGCATCACGCGTCGAGGACCATCGTGTAAGCTGATGAGCGTGACCATGGGGACAATCACGCTTTTCCTTACGGCTGAAACCTAGTTAATGACAAAAAAATAAAAATGAAAAATAAATTAGCTTCGACTCCAAAGTCAACCAAAAATATGCGGGACGCGATAACTTACATGATCGACAAGCGCCACAGTCAACACGTCTTTCACAGCAAGCCTGAACCGACACCATTTGCTTTCCAACTCAGGATAATTCGAAGGTGCAACATTAATATATGCTTCGATCGCAAGAACATAATCATGAAACTTCTTTATGGAAGTCTGCACCTCGGTGGTATAGAGCTCCACGTCCCGCATGATCAATTGGAGCTGGAAGAAATTGTCTCCAAACCTTGAATTTAGTATGGTAAATTCTTTATCTGCATATACGTCTGTGATGCCAACGTGTGCCTTGATTTTTTCCGTGCGCCGCCCGAATGCCTTCGAAAGCCCTGTCCGGACGTCGGATTCCTTGCGCTTCCGACCACTGACGATCTGTCCAACTACGTCGGCCCGTTTCTTCATGTCATTGATCCTTACGGATATGCTGGTGGTTTCGCGCAGCGCATTTGTCAAGGCAGCATGGTCTGGATGGTCTGGGGGAGTCGCACTGAGCAGTTCTGTTAGCAGCAGAGGGTACTTGACAATGCGCTGAACAGGCTTCACAAGCAAGGAATCCAAGTTCCATGCCGATGTAAGATCTACGGCCCAGTCCCGGCACTCCTTCAGCCATATATTAACATTATTCTTCCGCATGAGCATCTCGAGTGTCCTATTAGCCGCATCATGATTCCGCAGGTATTCAGAATATACTTTCTCCATCCGTTCGATGTGCTCAACGAAAACCTGGCCAATTGAAGTTTGCCGGTCCTTTTCATCGTCTGAAGCTTCCGAGGATGGATTGGTTTGGCTATCTACCGTGGAACCGTTCATCTGCGTGGATCTGTTGCCACGCTTGCTCTTCCATCGCTGGGATTGTGGTAGTACATAAACGCTCTTTGAGGCGCGTTTCAGAGAATCCTGAAAGTCCATCGAGAACTGTACAACCTGGTCGGAGTTACCAAACAGCGTTTTGATGTCATCCTGAGACAAGTCCAAGCAGGAGCTGGAAGTTCCCTTGTAAATATCGACAACAACTGTCATATCCTGGCCAAATGTGTGCTCTGTATCGACTAGCTCCTTGATGACATGCTTTCGCTTTTTCAGGCGGCGCTGTTCGGGGGAAGGAGAAGATTTCACCGCTGGGGCCTCAACGCTAGGTTGTTCCGCGCTCGATTGTTCCTGTGATGTAGTCGACGACGCTAGTGTTTGTGGAGATGGTACCAAACCGGCCTGCTGAAGAGATGACTCTTCGCTACTTCGTACGCTTGGTATAAGTTCTATTGATGGGATACGTGGGATACTAGACGGGATAGTGGACGGCGGGTTATTTGAGTATATACTTGGAGATGACTGTACAGGTGGTTGTAACAACGGTTCGAGAAATTGTTCAGGAATGGAACTTGAACGGATGGGGATGGGCGGAGGTGAATGGTTAGGTAATGGAGGCGGGGGGATGGTAGGTGGATCGTCGTCCTGAGGAGACTGGACATGAATCGCAAGGCCTAATCCTTCCACCGCCTCCTTTTCGGTCGAAAATTCTGGCTCTATAGTAGCGAGCCGTGGGGTTTCTACTTTCTCACGAACAGCGTTGGGTGAGTTTGCTGGGCCTTCTTCTGCTGCCGCTACGTGCATCCAATCCACCACTGATGCAGAAGTTTTCTCCCAGTCTTCTCTAAAGTTCAAACTCGCCCGGTGTTGAACATACTCCGATCTTGGAACATTTATGGACTCAGGTATTATAATGGGATCCTCACTCAGGGCATCATTTTTGTGGGTATCGTCACCCCGAGAAGAAGGACGGCTCGTCTGGACCCGTGCGGCAACCCCAAAATCGGACTTGAGCAAATGCGATCCCTCGAACCCTAGCTCCTGCAGGAAGAGTTGGGTTACGCGTTTCGAGTTCCAACCGCCCTGCTTGGCTAAATCAGGATACTGCTGCATCATATGCGTAGTATAGCGTACATTATGAGCTGTGGGTTCGCTCGGGAGGTCATGAGTGTCGCGCTGCATTGCAATTTCGCCAGTCGTGGGTGAATCGGCGCGTGCTTGCGATTCAGGGGGTTGCGGAGTTCGGTTATTTCCACCCGTAGGTATGGATATATGAACATCTGTCTCTGGTGAGTTTTCCGTAATCCGCCCAAGCGGCCCGTCTATGGACTGTCGATCCTGAATAGAGGAGCTCCAAGAGCTCATACTCCAACGATGACGGTCCACATCGATCCTGAAATCACATGGGATGTCACAGGGTTCAAGGTTATCACTGCTGTTGTACTGTGATTCGTCAAAGTAGTGACTTCGCCGAAGCATAATTTTGATTGACTCCTTATCGTCTCTTCCAGAGTAAGAATCAGACGAAGCGGAGCTGCTTGGACTGGATTCTCGCATCTGCATGATTTGGCTTAGGACGGTTCGGTGTTGCTGAGAGGATGGTTGGGGGAAATCTGTTTGTGGCTCCTGATCAAACGTGGTAATGTCGGTACCCACTGTCACTGCAGAGGGTGGAGCAATATCAGAACACGGCGTTTGGCATCGGGGAATATCTAGTTGGCTGATTGATTTCTCGACAAGGTCCGTAGCGGAGCAGATGTTGTTATTCGCATCGAATGTTACACGGCGGCCCGCTTCGAGATGTTCCGCGATCGCGTTGACGAGTTTTGGGGATCGTCCTTCGTCGGGTGTAACGAATATATCTTGCTCATCCCCAATGCTAGGAGTGCCTGGTCGACTTTCAATTGTTATCGGCAATTGGTCGCTTATTTCGGTGGGCTGTGGCTCCTTTCGTGATTCTTCTATGGGCGCGGTGGTTGTCGGCGTTATGGTTTTGCCTACATCACTCGAGGCTTTCTCTCGAGCCGACTGACGACGGAGAATTGCACGTTCTTCCCTTTTCGCATTTTCTTCCACCGTTTTATTAAATGCCTGCTGGATTTTCTGGCGCCGGGCAGCAAAATCAACATTCCCTAGTTCCGGCAGTCGTCTTGATTTTGTCCTCGAAGGTTTGGAATCCCTAGTGGACGCATTGGACTGGTTTTGTAGACTGGAAATCCTATCTACTACTCTTGCGCGTGATGCTGAAGTAGTGGCCGACGACACTGGTTGGCGTGGTCTTGAACTGCGAAGTGGGGGAGATTTCTTCGGGGGCGGAGCGGATATATAAGCGTTAAGTCTGGGGCTTTTGTCAGGGGTGAGGTGAGAGGTCTGGCCACGATTATGTCGTGCGGCTGATGTTACTTCTAAGGTGGTAGGTGGGGCTTTGGAACTGGGAGAATTTCTAGGGGAGCGTTTCGGAAGCGCACTCAAGCCCTTCGGGGG